CAACTTCATTGAAAAAGAAGTTTAAGGGGTATCAAGTTCTTTGGCATGTAATTGAACAAGACACATATTACTGAATGAATGAATGAAATAGTCTTGAACCTCTTGAGTTGGTGCCAACTTGCTTTCCTTTGTTATTTCTTTGCTAGTGCTCATTTGTATCTCCTAATGACCTCTCTTTTCTTATTCTTCACTTTATACATATATTTATTCTTGCATTTTCCATTCTGAATGCTTTTACCAATTAACCCTGGTGGTATAGATTTATCTTTTGTTTTGTTATTTCGAAAATTGATATGATGCTCCTTAACTTACCTTTGTTAAAAAAAAAAAAAATATATATATATAAAGAGAGAGAACACATGTGGAATTTTATGCTATACTATATAGCTTTACTAATATAATCCACACAAATGGAATATATCTGTGCATTGTACTGTACTCAGATTTAGTGTTCACTTGAGAATTGTCTTCATGATCCATGATTTAATCCTTGTCTCTCTGACACTTGAAGAGGAAAAAGGATTGTTTCTATCCTCTTGTTCACTATTTTTATATTGCTTTCAAGCAAAAACCATGTACTGCTAACTATCATTAATTATTTAGATTTTTACTGCAGCTTGTTTCTTTTTTTTTTATGATGCATGCCTGAGTGATCTGGTTTCCAAAAGTTTCTGTATTCAGCTTGTTTCTTTATATATAATGATATCTACTTTTTATTTTGCCAAAAATATTCAATTCTGACTTTGAAAGTAATATATGTTCAGTTTCAAAAGTATTTTTAAAAGGAAATTTAAAATCACTTCTGGATGGCATATCAACTGCCATTCAAATATTTCCTGCATGTATTCTCTGTGTATAAATAGATATATTTTTCAAAAGTCAATTCATGCCAAATGTACTTCTTGTCATTTTGCTTTTTAATTTTTTTCTGTTTTGTCATGACTACTTTCATATCACTATGGCAGATTTTCATGGAAACATAAATATAATCATTCTCTATTATGAACATTTTCTTTGAATTTGGCTTTTCACTGTATATATTATGTAATATTGTTATTTGTACATAAAACATTTTTGTGTATCTCTTACTGTTTTCTCACATTAAACTTTTGAAAATAGATTTACTAAGGTTCTACATATATAACCATATTTGCATTCTAACCTTGCTTGCTGAAAATAAGGAGGACTTGAAACACTTGCTGGTGAATATTAAGGAGTTCAGCTTTCCATACGGATTACGACTCACTGTAAAGAATATAAAATTCTCACAATTGAGCCAAAAGTTAACATCATGATATACAGAGGAAAAGGTTGGCATTGCCAAGGATTGTGTCTTGCTTGGATCCACACAGTCAAACCTCATGGAGGCAGCAGTCATGAGATCAAACGACACAATTACATTGGGTAACTCTTGCTTCACAAGACCTCTTTACAGTGTTGAAAAGCAAGGAAGTGACTTTGAAGATTAAGGCACACCTGACCCAAGCCATGGTCTTCCTCTCACCATATACGCATGGACACTGAGTAAGTAAGACAGCAGAAGAAGGGTTGCATTTTAATTATGATGTTGGCAAGGGATATTGAAAGTACCATGGATTTCCAAAAGCATGTTTTGGAAGAAGTACAGCCAGAATGCCCCTTAGAGGCAAGGATGGAAAGATTTTGTCTCACGTGCTTTGGACATGTTATCAGGAAATACCACTCCATGGAAAAGGATCGTCATGGATGGTATAGTAAAGGGGCGGTGAAAAAGAGGAAGCCCTTCAACAAGATGGATGGACAGCATGGCTGCAACAATGGGCTCAAACATAAGAACACCTGTGAAGATGGTGCGGGATCAAGCCATGTTTTATTCTGCTGTGTATATGACCCTTATCAGTCAGAACCAACTCAATGGCACCCAACAATAGCCTTTACAGTCTTTGATCCACTGCTCCTCTGTCAGTTTGTTTTCCCTGGTGACTTGTGTCTTGCTATCATTTTGGAAGGTCTGCCTCTGATATTTCAAATTCCAGCAGGGCTGTCCCTAGTGATCCAGGTTCAGTGGAGTTTCCAGACAAAGACAGACGCAGAAGCAAGACCTGGTAATTTACATTTGAAAATAATTAGCCAATAATACCAGGTGGTTGGCAGAGGAAATTTGTCTGATACAGTGCCAGAAGATAAACTGCTCAAGTTGGAAGACTCATAGTACGACACTGGAAGGCCTGCCTCCTCCTGGTAAAATCCACCTTAATAGATGAAGGAAAGATGAGGGGACTCCATTCGTCGAAGTGGCTTGACTCTAAATGGGAAGAATCGGTTGCAATGATCTGAAGTTTTCATAAGAAAATGGGACACTTGAAGATTGATGTCCTAGGCATTCGTGAGCTGAAATGAACTGGCTTTGGCTTTTGAATAGGACAATCATATGTTCTCCTATGCTGGGAAGGACAGATTAAAGAGCATTAATTGTCAAAAAGAGCATTTCAAGGTCAATCCAGAAGTATAAAACACTACCAGTGAAGTATAACATCCATACACTTACAAAGAAACCAGTTAACATGACTGTTATTCAAATTTATACATCAACCACTATTAGGGCTCATGGGAAACCTGATTGTAGACCAGTACACAGTTGTTTGAACAAAGCAATACTGTGTGTGTGTGGTTTAAAATCATTATAGATTTGCATCCCTTTTCTAATGTTTCACCATACTAATTCAGACTGGTTTTTTGGTTGTCTTCTTAGATGCCATTGAGTTTGTTCCAACCCATAACTACCCTATGCTCAACAGAAGGAAATACTGCCTGGCCCTGCGCCACCTTCACAACCCTTTCTGTGCTTGATCCCATTGTGGTTTTCACTGTATCAATCCACCTCCTGGAGGACCTTCCTCTTTTCCACTGCTCCTCCACTTTACCAAACATGAGATCCTTCTCCAGGGACTGGTGTCTCCCGACAGCCTGTCTGAAGTTATGTAAGGTTGCCACCCTTGCCTCTAAGGAGCACTCTGGGCGAACTTCTTCCAAGACTCATTTGCTTGTTCCTATGTACTTCCAGACTGAATGCTGAGCACATAATCCAAGGCTCAGTATGATGTGAAGAACACCACACCATGGCTGAATGAAGGCTTATTAACAACCTGCAATATGCAGGTAGTTCCTGAAAGCAGAGGACACTTGAAGAATTTAATGAAATAAACAAATACATAATTGAAGTCTTCAGACTAGGTTACTCGTAAACCTTTTTTAATCCTCATAAATAGACCAATTAGCAAAATCATGATAATCTAAATAGTCAAGTTACCAAAGATTTTCACTTTACTTGAATCCACAGTCAAATGCCCAGAGCAATAGCAGTTGAGAAATCAAATGACATTGCATTAGGGACATTTCCTAAGTGAGATCTCTTTAAAGTGTGTAAGAGCAAGGATGTCACTTTGAAGACAAAAGTGCCCCTGACCCATGCTATGCTATTTTCAGCCATCTTACGTGCATGTGACAGGTGGACAATGAATAAAGAACAGCAAAGGATCGATACATGTGAATTATGGTGTTTGAAAAGAACATTGAATCATTCCAAGAAACGCCAGAAGAATGGAAAATAATTGTCTAGGAAAAAGCCAGAGTGTTCCTTAAAGGAGAGGGTGGCAAAATGTTGTCTTTTGTACTGTTGACAAATTATGATCTGGATCAGGTTCTAGAGAAGGACATTGTGCTCGGTAAAACAGAGGGCCAGCAAAAAAGAGGAAGACCCTCCCTCGCAATGGATTGTCTCAGTGGGCATGAGCCAGAGCTGAGACATAACCATGGGGAACATGGTGCTGAACTGGAGTGGGAACATAGCCGCCGCCGCCAGCACATAAGTGTAAATGCCACATGTAGGTGGGTTCAACACCCAGAAATGTATTTTCTTGCCATTCATGGGGCTAGAGGTTGACTTCAGGGTGCTGACTCCCGTGAAATGCTGTCTCTCCCTGAATGCTACAAAGGGAATTTCTTTACCTGCTCTTCCTCTGTTGCTTGATTATCTCCTTTGGGCATCAGTCTTTCTTCCTCTGTGCGTCCTTATCTGTGTCGGGTCTCAAAGGCCATTGGCTTAATTCCCTGTACGGATAGGGCCTCTTTAAAATAACACGGAAAGTCTTACTGCCACTCAGGATGACCTTCACGGGTTTAAGTGTTGCGAATTTACAACATTATCTACAGGAGGACACAATTCACTCCACAGCAGTCATGCCTCTTGCCCTCAACTAACATTTTAGGACATCGTAGATTAGAACCATAACAACGCATTCCTCTTTAACATCCTTTGAGGGACATACATTTCGAAATTTTTATGTTCATATGATGGTCATCATCCTCACATCTCTCATATTTATGGAGCATTCACATTACATGTGTAGGATAAAAATGTGACCCTTTTCTGAGAAAGCCGCGAGTTGTCACTTACTAAGCCATGGACTCTGAAGTCATTGCTCCAGGTTTCATGTGGTGTATGTGCTCGGTCCATGGGAACTTTGTGTGTGATTGTGCGCATGTACAGAGAGGACTCTGGCAACTCCATAAAGCTTCAGTGAAGGAAGACATGATTAGAAATTATTCATTTTCTTTGTTCCTCTATGTTTCCCATGTTTCTTATAATACGTATGCCTATGGCCCTGGTGATGTAGTGGTTACTCGGTTGGCTGCGAGCCAGGAAGTCAGTAGTTCGAAACTACCTGACTGTCTATTCCCACATAGGGTTACAGTTTTGAAACCCACAGGGCCGGTTCTACCCTGCCCTGTAAGTTCACTGTGAGTCAGAATTGACGCCATAGCATTGAGTTTGAGTTCGTCTTTTATGCTCTATAATCAGGAAGAATATTCTTAAACTGAAGTTAAATTATTCACTTCAATAACGAACCCACTGCCTGCTAGCCTACCATGTGCCTGAATACATGTGTGTTAAATGAAGTTATTATGCTGATGTGGCTTCTGATATATACATTTTTTAATTGAAAACTTTTTCCCCCCAGAGTCCTCTATGGAAATAAAATCACAGAACTCCCCAAAAGCTTATTTGAAGGCCTATTCTCTTTACAGCTGCTGTAAGTATTTGATTGTTTCTGATCCATTGACCCTAAATAGTCTATTTTAGTCAGACTTCCATGCTGTATGTTCATAAAGATGTCAGAAAAGTTCAACGAAAAGGATATATTTTAATGAAATGGAAGATACCAGCCCAACAGTGCTAGCGTGGATGACGGTTATTTACTAGGAGATGCAACACTTCAGAATTGTCCTAAAACCTTCCTCTCTGAACTCTGATGAATGTATGCTTTCAATGACAATTACAATCCTCATCTCTCGTGAAGCTTGTCTGTTCTGATTCTACAATCGTTAGAGAGGAGAACAAAACAAGGGCACATTCTCCAGCTGTTGCCCAAGGTTCGGAAGACTGACAAAAGCGAAATAACACCCCAGCCCAGGGAGGGTGGGCAACAAGCCATAACACAGCAGTTGTTCTCAAATTACATAGTGAGTGAGTGAATGCTAACTCCCCCACTCGTTGTCTCTTTAAAGATGCTCGGAAAATAAGGACGCTCAAGGTCAGTGGCTCAAACCCATCAGCCACATTATGGGAGAAAGATGAAGTTTTCTGTTCTGATAAATACTAACAGTCTCTGAATCCTATGTAGGGTCACAATGAGTCATAGTGAGTAGTGAGTTTCGGTTGTTTCTTTTAGAACACAGCCACTAGTCATTGATCTACAAAGTAATATGGACTGTACCTATGGATCAGAATAAATGTTGACACCAGCCAGGTATTTTAATAACTGTCCATGTGTAACTGCAATTTGAAAAAGATAAAATACGAGGTGCCATATCCTGTAGGTAGGTCATTACAACCTTTTAGTTCACTAAACACTTAGTACTTCAACTGGGGTAGACATTGGCCCGGAACCTGTGTATGCCATGCCGAATAGGATGCAATTTCTTCTCCCAAGGAGCTTCCTAAAAAATTTAAGGTTAGAACATAATTTTTGTGTTAATTTAATCATTTTAATTCATTTATTAAATTAAATTCTTTGAAATTAGCTTCATGTATTGCTTGTTGGGATTTACATCTTTTATTTTATACATATGATTACTAATCTCACAAATTTCCCTAATGCAGATCTTTCTTAGATTAACTTGGTAAATATGTTTATAATAATGTCCTATCAATCACACCTTAAGCTGTTTCCCCAGTATCCAGATCTCTAATTTGCATCACAAATGCAGAGGGCTACACACGTAGCCATGCTGTAAAGGGGTGGTCGTACATCAGCACCTGCTTTCACTTCATGGGATGGTAATGAGAATCACCGGCAGCACCGAGCTGCTTGCCAGGAAGAGTTACATTCTCAGAAACCCTCAGGGGCAGGAACCCTGCCCTGTAGGGTTGCCATGAGTTGAAATCAGCTCAGCGGCAGCGAGTGAGACTTCAGGGCCTTCCTGGTTCAGCGGTAGACTTCTCATCTTCCTTGTGGGCAAATTGGGTTCAATTCTCAGCCACGACACCTCATGCTAGCCACCATCCATAGGTTTTACTGGAGCTTCCAAACTAAGACAGACTAGGAAGGAAGCCCTCTTGGGAAAATCAGCCATTGACTAGGGTAGACTGCATCAACAAGGCACGATATGAGCAGATTCCAAGAAGGAGAACAGAGCCTGGCAGGTATGGGAAGCAATTAGGAATTAATGTTCACATGGTGGCCTGAGGATCCTATCGAGCATAGGTGGGGCACCTTTTTCTGCAAATGGCCATTTTGATATTTATAACATTATTCTCTGGCCATCCTGGTCAGGCATTTAATTGATCCCTAATGTGATGGCTCTGTGGAGCCCTGGTGGCATATTGATTACACAACAGGTTGCTAACTGCAAGGTCGGCAATTTGTATCCACCAGCTGCTCCTTGGGCTTTCTACTCCTGTAAAGACTTACAGTTTCGGAAACCCACTAGGACAGTGTTACCCCATCCGCTTGGGTTGCCATGAGTCGGCATCCACTCAATGGCAGAGCATTTTTCAAATTTTGCTTGTTTTGTTTTAATATAATGGGTTCTTTTTAGTGAGATCTGTGATATTAATTGGTATTAATGATTTTGCCGGCCATATAAGGCCTTCCAAATCATCAATACCCATTGGGTTGCTATGAGTTAGACAGACTCGTTGGCAGTTAGTTGGTGAGTTGTTATGTGTTTTATGACTGTGGACCAGACCTCCCCAAGCCCTACTGCCGACCATTGGTGAAAACTTCTATTTCACTTGGAGGTCATGGAGAGTTGGGCTATTATTTTGAGAGAGAAGTTACTAGAGGTGACCTAGGTTTTAAGGAGATCACACTGCTCTTTTGAGACTAAGCAGAACTTCTTTTCTCATAAAGAGAGTTGAGGCAATAAAGCTTTATGGAATTGAATTCTTTTAAAACATTTTCATCAACAGAATTTAGATCTCCCCACCTTTGTTTATGGCACTCCCTCTCTGCCTTCTGCAGAATGATGTTTGGCACTTTTTATGAGCATCACTCTTTGAGGCCCACATCTCACTGCATGGAGCTAGTTTTCATTGACAGAATCCTAAGTCTTTTAGACCTCAAGTATTCAAATCAAAATGCTAGTGGTCAGGCTAAAAGAAATGTATTTTTCAATCACAAAGGATTCTTAAGCAGGTACAAGTTATCAAAGGTGAATTAATGTGATGCTACCCTTTAACTACACAATTTATTGAACAGATTGTTGAATGCCAACAAGATAAACTGTCTTCGGGTAGATGCTTTTCAAGACCTACACAACTTGAACCTCCTCTCCTTGTATGATAACAAGCTTCAGACCATCGCCAAGGGCACCTTCTCACCTCTCCGGGCCATTCAGACGATGTATGTACTCGGGGATCGATTCCAATGTGATGCTGCTTGTTTTCATTCTGGATTTGAAAGTGGAGTCCATTGCCAATCACCTGTAAAACTGTTTTGTGTCTTTGAAAGGCACTTGGCTCAGAACCCATTTATCTGTGACTGCCATCTGAAGTGGCTGGCGGATTATCTCCATACCAACCCAATAGAGACCAGTGGTGCCCGCTGCACCAGCCCCCGCCGTCTGGCAAATAAAAGGATCGGCCAGATCAAAAGCAAGAAATTCCGTTGCTCAGGTAACTTCTTACTTCATTTAGTATTTCTGGGGTGTTGTCAAGAATAGATGTCACATGAGCCCCAAGGAAGCAGCTGGCCTTCGGCTGAATGAGCAAACATTGCAGAATCAGACTTCCTTTCCTTCTGCGCATGAAGAAAGAAAGAAAAGAACTATAGACAATGGTCATATATCCCTGGTATGTGTAAGACTTTTTTAAAACAGCATGTCTAACAGAAAAATAATATAGGCTACCAAGTAAGTTTAAAAGATGCCTGGTTATTCCCAGGGTTCCCACCTTATTGGGTCTAATTAATAAATCAAGAATGCTTTTCAAGTATATAAAGTTTCATATGTGGGCTAAGAAAATCCTACTGAGATTCTTAAAATTAGTCAGTTATTTGCATTTATCCGAAAGAAAACTGAGACATCGATGGGCCCTATCCAATTTAGAAGTAGACGGTTAATATAGATATAAGCTTACACTTAATGTTGTAGCATATACATATATGCTACAGCATTATATATGCTACAACATTAAGTGTAAGCTTAATGTCATGGTCTCATCATGCAGATTAAGAATGTAAAGATGATACAGATTTTTCTAAAAGGAAATCTTTAGGAAATGTGAGACTATTTCATTTATTGACAATAAGACAAATACAAATGCACTGTACTAATGTGTAATAGAAAAATAAATAGCTCATTGAACGTTGCTATTTGTTTTCGCATCTCTCTGATTTTCTCAGGATAAGACTACATTCTATGACATGGGGGTAGACTGCTACTTCAGGATTCCAGGCATGTTTCACATTCAGCATTTAATTCTGACTAAAAAGCTAATGTTGAAACAAAGCTGTTTATTGCCCATGATTCTAGATGCGTTTAGTACTCAGTGTACATTTTTGAACTTCAGCCACTTCTGGGAACAAACATTTTTTTTTGCTTAATGATCTATAGTAACTTTAGTCCATTCTTAATCTAATATAACTCATATCTCTGCTTGCTGATATTCAGGTGCATCTTCTATTTTTGTCTCTCTTTTTTTTTTAATGTAGCTAAAGAACAGTATTTCATTCCAGGTAGGTTTTGCTCGGTAATAGGACTAACTGCAGACACCTTTTCTTTACCTTTACCATAGAGCTTCTCAACCCTTGATATGCATGCGTCTGAAAATACAGGGGGGAGCTGTAGATAGACTTACGTCTGCATAGATCACCTGTAGCTGTTTCCTGAACACCTGACCTTTGCATGTCACTTCCAGTGTCAAATGTATAGATTAATAAACTCCCACCATTTCTCCCTCTCTCTCACGTTGGTGCATTATCTAAACTTTATCATGGTAGCTAAAATGTTTGAACTTATGGCTTTCTACTTAAACCATCTTCTCTCCTTACGTTGTTTATCTGATCTTTCTATCTGCTTTTAAAATAGAGCTTGTAGAGCTGGTTTTAAAGATAGATCTTTCCCTTGTCAAAGAGCTAATTCTTCACAAAATCAGATCTACACACACAGGATTACTTTTTGCCACCAGGACCTGTGTTTGTGGTAGTTCTTTTAATACTAAAAATGGATGCCTTTTTTTTTACTTAATTTTATTTTACTTCTATTTTTTAGAAATAGGAGGCAAAATAAATAGTTGCTTCCTTATCTGTTTGCAGTGTTGCCTTTTTGGATTGCGACTACAGTGTTGCATTTCTCTCCAGTCACTCTATAAATCCCCAAAATACGGATGCCCATCATCAGAGCATCTGAAGTTTGGGGCGCTGCTTACCTTGAAAATAACTAATGAAATGTGCAATGTTTTACCACTTCCATTTTGAAACTATCAAGGCAGATAATTATGAGAACTAGCTCTTTGAAATATGTTTCCTGATTTATTTTTCTTTGCCTGCCAACTGTGTAAAATGCCTCTTGATTTACTGTTTTAAAATATTTGATACAAAAGATACATAGTAGTGATGGATGGACTGCATTCACCATCTCCTGGTTATCATCTTAAATGATGACATGCTTTAAGAACTAAAAATAAGAAGGTGTCTCCACAGTGTTCATGTGCAAAGACGTATGTTTTTCACCAGAGTTCTAGAATTGGTCTCTTATTTTATAAAGAGATTTGTTGTACTTACCTTGATCAGATTATACTTTGAGTACTTTAACACATTTAACAGATTTTATTATATTGGTTGTTTTGAGTTAGACTTTTCAACAGTATTTTATATATTTTGTTCATGGTTTGTGCTGGTTGCATTAGAAGTAAAACATTGCAAAGAATAACTGGCTCCTATAAGTAGTCACTAAAAATTTAATTGTTTATAACCAATTATTCAACAGCTATTAATTCTGCTGAAAAAGCCATATTTTAAACACCAGGCCACTTTTGCAGTATTATATTACTAGTGCTTACGTCCTCAAAATCACAACAATGCATATAATTTTCACAGATTATCCAAACTTTTTGTTTTCCATGACATTTTATATATCATTGATTAATACTGTAGAAATTAATTTTCAATTGACCCATAGCTTATATCCATGCATTCTGAATTTGGATCCTCTTGTTGGTAGCCAAAATACAAGGCTTTGGGAAATACCTTTTATTTATACCTTTATATACCCCAAGTTAATTTTCAATGTCTGATTATTCAATTCCTATACTTTAAAAATAATATTTATAGGAACCTGATCCCAGCCTCCCTTTCAACCAAAAATGTTGATTAAAAATCCAGCCTACACAGAGACCCTTCACAAAATCATCATGATGGTTACTGTCTTGAGTGCCGTTTGATCTGAAAGTAAGAATCTCAGCATAACTATCCCAAGAGCGCAGTTACCTGAATGAACACACCCAGCTGCGTGGAATATGCTTCTAGAAGATCACAGCCTTAAACACCCCAAGGAGCAGTTCTGCTGTACATCCTTGGGGTCACCATCAGTCGCTTTCCACTGGCAGGCAGCTCCCCCTCAGGACGACAGGATCTCATTTCATTGTGAAGATTAAACTGAAACCCAAACAGAAGATCCCCAATAGAAACCAACATGGTCCTCAAGGAATGTATCCTAACTACTAGACATTTAGCATGGCAGATGTCTTAGATGTTTCTGATGCCCCTGCCACTCAGTGGCATTACGTGTCAATCAAACAGATCACCCAACAGTGTGTAAGTCCCAGCTGAAGGATTCCTCCAAAGGCACTGGTAATCGTCCTCGCGGGGCTCTACTAATGCTGTGTTCATTTTACACAGCCGCCTGCCCCCTGCCCTTCAATACGGCATTCTAGATTGCGGTGATATTCAAAAGAAGATCTATCTCTGAGAGGTTTCCTCTTTAAAGGAAGCCACAGGAACTTAATCTGTAATATCCACCTTTTTAGGCCATTAGCTTTTCTCGGAAGACTGCTGGGCTTCACAAATAACTTGTGAAATTTCGCAAAGTCTCACTGCATGGTAGTTGCCCTTAATTGCCACAGTCAAGGAAGAAGAGAGCTTTGCACATATATGTATTCATCTCAATCGGGATGACTCTGTCTGTCTTTCCTTCTTCCTGGTCTTCACTTTTACAGGAATTCACCATTTGGGCTGTAAGTAAAAGTGTCTGATCTGAACCCCGATGTCTTTTCCCTTCGCAGCCCTCCTCTACCTTCTTCCAGTCTTGGCCCCTTGCACGGGTTTTTCTTCTCCCAAGAAGAACCCCCCGATCTTTGGCGCTCCTCTGTTGTCCTTGTAGCTCACCTTCCACTCCTTCCTGATGCTGTGCCAGCAGCTGCGGTTCCCATCCAGCAGTTCGGAAGGAACGACCAGGCTCCTCTCCGTATCGCCCCTCTTTGTGTTTCCAGGAAAGCGTCCGTAGTAATGCCCTCGCTGGGGTGGTAACCATGCTGAAGGAACGGTGCATGTCTTGTACGCAGTGCCGCGTTTCCAGGGTGTCTGTAGCTTTTCTCCTCCTCCCCTTTATCTTTCCTCTCAGTCTCCCCCTTGGCCTAGTGGATGGCGTAGTGATTACGGAGCGAGATTTTCTGTTGTGCTTGATCTAACCATGTGGTTGCCAGGTATGAGTAAAACATGGTTCCGTCAAGCACCATGGAACGTCACGCAGCTTTCTACAGCATGGCAAGCTGCTGAGGTTTAAATCAGGACTGCCTGGTCTCTGTTGATAAAAACCAATGAAACGAAAGAGGGCTTTTTTTTTAAAAAGACATTCCAGAAGATTACGTGAGAGGGAGAGAATTTAAAAAGAACAGACAGACATAGAGAATCGAAAAACCTAGAGACATTATATTTGCCTTGAAAGCCCTAATTTTAAAACACGATAGAGGAATATGTGTGTCACAGAATGCATTGTAAAATCTTGATGCAGAGGGATAAAAAAAAATGAAACCTTTTTTAAACAATTAGTAGCCACGAGCTTGATGAACTATGAAGTCAACAGGTATGGCTCACAACTGGATCAGCAGAAAGTACCGCTGTGAAAAGCTCAATTCGATTCCTGTCTTCCTGTCTTGTGAATCTGGTCCCTCTGTTTTTTTCCAGCAAATTCCAAGCCCTGTTCTAATCTACTCCTGACATCCATTGACCAACCCCCCCTAAGTTGTCTCCCTGCTGCATAATCTATAGTTATCTTTCTCCCCCCACCCCTTACACATGAATAAATACACTAACCATCAGACTCAGTGTCTTTTCTTGTGGCTTGAATCCTCAATAGGCACAGAAGATTATCGATCGAAATTAAGTGGAGACTGCTTTGCAGATTTGACTTGCCCTGAGAAATGTCGCTGTGAGGGGACCACAGTCGATTGCTCCAATCAAAAACTCAACAAAATCCCTGACCACATCCCCCAGTACACTGCAGAACTGTAAGTTCATTCCTCGGTGGTGACCCGTTTGGCAAATGGGGAATGAGTTTTTAAAGCTCAGGAATTTTGTCTTGCTTCTTTAATCTCAAGAATTACGCTAATATGAATCCCTGCTAACACAGTGCACCAAGATGGTTGTGGAACATTGTGAATATAATTAATGGTCCAGAAATGATGCCCGTTGTTAGAATAAAAAATTTTAGAGTATATGTATTTTACTACAATCTTATTTATTTATTTGGAAAAGCAGAGGAATTTATGAAAGGCCATTTTTGTGTATCATTCTGACCCAAGATATAGTGTGTCATTGGTGTTGTTAGGTGCCGTTGACTGGGTACTGACTCACAGTCACCCGATGTAGAACAAACAGATACACCGCGGTGGTCTTGAACCATCCTCACAATAGGTCTCATGTTTGTGCCCCTGGTTGCAGCCACTGTGTCGATCCATCTTATCGAGAGCCTTCTCTTTTCCACTGCCCCTCCACTTCCCCAAGCATGACGTCCTTCTCCCGCGATTGATCTCTCCTGAGATGTTCAAAGTATGTGAGATGAAATCTCACCATCCTTGCCTCTAAGGAACATTCTGACTGTACTTCTTCCAAGACATATTTCCAGTTTACAATTCTAGCATTCAATTTATTGGTCCAAAATCAGTAGCAACCAATAACGCCAATATTAGCATTAATTGAAAATGTGCTGTGCTCAGAACAATTTTAAAGTTTTTAATAGGTTTCTCTAATCAAGTGTTACCATACCATACAAGGTAGCCTGGCAATCACCATTTTCATGCCTTTGCTAATTATAAAATCTAATTTCCACTTGTTGCCTTACTACCTCCACTTCTTCATGGACGCACGTATACGTAGTATTGGGTGATTTTTCAAGGAATAAAACCTAAAGATAATATTTTTAGAACAGATAACACAGAAAAGATAACGTATGATAGGATTTCTCTATATAATCTTAATAGAGGGCCAGTCACAACAAAAGGAGCCTTGTTGGGTTGGTGGTTACGAATTGGGCTGCAGTCTACAAGGTTCACAGTTCAAAACCACCAACCACTCCAAGAGAGACAGATGGAGCTTTCTATTCCAGTCTCAGAAATTGACGGGCAGTTCTGCCCTGTCCTGTAGGGTCTCGCTAGGAGTGGGCATTGGTTAATTCCATGGCAGTGATCACATAAAAGACCAACACCATCAAACTGAGTCCCGCTCATAGCAGCCCTTGGGTTCTGTGCCCACAGATGTTTTGTCTTGACTGACTTTATGTATAAAAGAAAGCAGTTAGGGTTAATGTGCTCAAACGCCAACAACAGCCTAGCACAATCTCATCAGTTCAGGAACAGCTTTGTGATGTTTATGGACAGCACCATTTGGCATATGTCTTGTGCTGTTTGGCAAAGGGGGCTGTCTTTCTGTGCACGCGGCATCCTTTCGTCTTCAAGGAGAGTTGGGCCTGGGCCTGTGGCGATAGGGATTGGCTGTCCACTTTGGCTCACTGCGCAGAGACGCTCGTCCGTGATGTATTGGATTTCATGCTATTTGAAAAAATCAAAACAGCAGCATGCCCTTTAAAAATAGGAGGAAAACTAACACTCCTGCGGTTCAAGTGAAGACTTTTCAGTCTTGTTAGCTCATGAAGCCATTTCAGAAGTCTGAGACTTTTTGAAATATGTAGAACCCATACAATACCCATACAATGAATATCAGACCTTTGTTATGACAGCTTGTACAGACTTCCTTTCCTAGAAAGATACAAGCAGTAATTTAAATGATGTCTCCCAGCATGACACCTTAGATAAGTTTCCTTATCCATCCCAAAGCATTAATGTATGATCTGATTTAAACATCAGCAAAAGTCACACGTGTAGGCTTTGAAAGAGTAAGCATGTTTAACATTACATATTTAAGATCAGTATCTGGGAGAAATATTCACAGACCAAACGTCACAGGTCTGAGCATACAGGATTTGTAGCCGGCCTCTCTGGAAGATCTTGCTCTTTTCCCTGCCCACTACTTTACCAAGCACGATGTACACTGCCGTTTTCTTCTCAGCTCCTCTTTCCACAATTGGTTCATCCCTCCTCTTAGCGTGGCCCTTTAACTCACTAGTCGCCCTTTCATGTAAATGCTCAAGAGTTGAAAATGTACATCCACCCCAAGCCATGCCACAGCATGGATGTGCCTTGGGTATATTCCATGAAGTGAAAGTCTGCAGGCACCAATCACCACATGGGATTGGGTCCTATTTTGATCTGGAATGTTCAAAATAAGCAAACTCAAAGCGACAGCAAGTAGATTACCGGTTGCTCGGGATTGTGGGAAAGAAGAACAAATGGGGGAGGAGGGTGACTTCTAATGAGTATGGTGCTTCTTGTCAGGGTGGTGAAATGTTTTAGGGTTAGTGATGGTGGGTGCACACTTTGCACACTTTAACGGAATAGACGTTATGGTAGGTGAACTGTATCTCAAATAAGCCGCTACAAGATTAGAAAGGGAACGGATTAGGAGAAATATGTGTAAAATTACTTTTCAAGGGGGCTTTTTTCTAGACATTACTGGTTGAGAGCTGGTTTTGACTATGGTTTTGTTTTGTGTTTTAGTAGAGTGCTGGTGGAGTAGTGGTTGAACCCTGACAGCATAGTGGTCATGCATTGGGCTGTGATCCACAAGGTCAGCAGTTCAGAACCACCAGCCACTCTGCAGATAAAAGATTGGGCTTTCTAGTCATACAACAGTAACAGTCTCAGAAACTCACAGGGCGGGGGGTACCCTGTCCGATAGGGCCACTATGAGTCAGAATTGACTTGATGGCAGTGCGTTTGTTTTGTTTTATTTTGATCATACGTGCCTCTGGGGTATAGTGGCTTACTCCTTGGACTGCTGACCACAAAGTCAGGAGTTTGAAACTTACTGCCACTCTGCAAGGGGAAGATGCGGCTTTCTGCTCCTGTAAAGAGTTCCAGCCTCAGACACCCACATGGACAGTGTTTCTTTGTCCTGTAGGGACTCTATGAGTCAGAATCAACTCGATGGCAGTTAGCTTGGGTTTGGGCTTTGGGTTCTTATTTTGATATTAAAATGTGAGCTAAATGGTGAGATGGGCAAGTGCCATGATCGTCCGTGATATGTACAATATGTTTTATGTAAAGATTGCCACTAAATAATGTTAATGTTCAGTGTGAGGAATAAAATGTTCTCTTCTTCAATTCTGATCATGAAAATGTTCTGTTTTCTCCCTTCCCTACGATCCCCCCCTCCCCTCCCACCAGGCGTCTCAATAACAATGAATTCACAGTGTTGGAAGCCACCGGGATCTTTAAGAAACTCCCTCAGTTGCGTAAGATGTAAGCCTCGCATTCACTTCTTCTGAAGTATTTGTCATGCTTCCTTTTGCTTTTTTCTTCCTGTTACTGAAGTTTTGCTTAAGTGTCTCCAATATTTGAAAGCTATTTTAACGCTCCAATAAAATCTATACCATGAATGCGGAGTAACGTCTGACAGCATTCTGTGTAAACCATGTTGTTCTGTGTGTTCAAATAACACCAAAAAGGAGAGCACCAAACCCAAACCAAAAGCCCCTGCCTTCAATTCGTCTCTGACTCGTAGTGACCCTGGGGGGCAGAATAGGACTGCTCCCCAGTGTTTCCAAGGCTGTGGGTCTTTACTGGAGCAGACAGCCTCATCTTTCTCCCAAAGAGCGGCTGGTGGGTTTGAACTGCATCTACAGTTAACTGAGACAGCTGGTGGGGCTGTACGGTCACAGCAGGAATCTAGCAACCTCAGCTCATCAGAAATGGGATCCACAATGTTTTGTAACTTCCTGTGCCATTTCCCAAACCATGCTGTTATTTTCTCTCTCAGCACATTCGTGTCAATGATTTGACTTTGGGCTTCATTAAACTTTCATTAGAAAAATCGTGAAAATTAATGATCGGAAAACTGGCTGGATGGCTCATCTGTGTTACAGCATGTCCAAAACTCATATTCAACACTAAGCATATGAGCTCAGCACTTTCAAAAATAACTTGGACAGTACCCCTCTCCTCTGAAGAGGACTGAGGGAGGGAGAGGGCAGAAGGAGGGAGCGGGTGGCCAATTGAGGTGTCTCTCTGCACAATGACGATCAGTTGGACAAATATTTATCGAGAAGCACTGGTGTGAATGCTAGGTAAAATACGAAATGATAAATAACTATCGCTCTTCTTTAAGGCCACTCCTGTTCTTGGAATGAACAGTGAGGTCAAGAAATGAGAACCTACAGAAAGGTGTTACCGCAGTTGGATAGTGTTGCTCTCTGCTCAAGTCTGTGGCATTTGGTTTCACACCAAAGACTCCGTGTTAGTTGGTGGTTTTAACCTAGTTTTGCAGGGTAGCGAGTTATTTGCAGTTGCAAGTTCAGCAGTTCAAACCCACCAGCCATTTCATGGAGAAAGCACGAAACGTTCCATACCGGGAAAGATTTACATCCTTGCAGAGCCAAAGGGGCAGTTCTACTCTGTCCAATAGGGTCCTTATGAGTCAGAATGGACTTAGAGGGCAGTAAATATGACAGACATGTGAGCACATACCTGATGCCATCCGCCCACTAACCTACCTTAGACAACTCTTGCTGTCTCTACTCAATTGCCTTGTTTTAATCACTAAATCAAAATCAGTTTTAATCTGTTGTATTTTTTTTAAGTTTCTTTCTCAATTTTTGTGGAGTTTACAAAGCTCTGCAACCCACCACCCGACCTCAAGGGTTTTATGCTTCTGGGAATCTTTGCGGGTTATTGTGATCGTTTTCACCTTAGTAGTGTCTTCTAATTGCCTTCGGCTTGATGAGCCGGGTGCTGAGGAGGGTCTCTTCGGAGTCTCAGCCCGTGTGGGGCAGGGAAGAGCTTGGAGGTGATGGGAGGGACCTTGTTGAGAAGGAGAAAATAATCAAACCAGGAACAAGTTCACTGTCGGAAAACAGTTGTTTAAAGTCTTTCTTTCCACAATTTCATCTAGAAACTTCAGCAACAATAAGATCACAGACATTGAAGAGGGCGTGTTTGAGGGCGCTTCTGGAGTCAACGAAATACTTCTCACCAGCAATCGTTTGGAAACTGTTCGGCATAAGATGTTCAAGGGATTGGAAAGCCTCAAAACGCTGTAAGTTTCCAAACGCATTTTGATTCTTCTACCTGTGGACATGACAGTACTACTGTCACTTTCGGTCACTCTGGACTGCGTAACAAAATAGATGGTCAGAATTGTTGACCTTAAAGAACACACATTGGTTGTTGCCCAGTTTTGGAGATGAGGAATTCGAGTTCGGAATCCCAGCCACAACATGGTCTTTTTACCCAAGAAGAACCATCGGCCTCATCTTTTCCAGCTTCGGTAGCCTCAGGGGTTTCGTCTGAGGTGCCTTGGCTTGTAGATCCATCTTTTCATAACTGGCTCCCGTCTGTGTGTTGGCTGATGATGTTCCATTCCGTTACAAGAACAGAATTTAGTTGGGAACATGCTAGCATGAACTCAGGTGAGCGGCCCAACCTTGTCAGTGACCTAAAACAGAGGAGGACACCATTACAGTTGCCGTGCAAAAGACAGACTCTCTTTGTCGCTGCCTTCCCTCTCTCCCATACACACAGGTTCTGTGGATCGCAGCAGTCTGTTATTCCAGGAGGCCTGAGCTCAGTGTGTTATAAATGACCGAGAGGGCCCTTCCAGGGTGTCCCCACAAAAACTCACTTTCCTCCTTCTCCCCCAAGTCCATCATTCTGGTGCCCGTCTTCAAGACACGTGGCGCTGCAGTCCTGATTCAAAAGGATTCGCCTCTTCTCATTACCCTCAGGTATCTGCAGTAGAATGAGGTCCACGCTCTCCTCATAATTTGCATCTCTGTCCCAGCTAGCGCCGAAAAGACCCATCAGAGGCTCATAGGCAAAGGAGTCCAGTTGCTTCATCTTTATTATTCTTGGGGCGTGCAGAGCCAAGCCCTGTGCATGAATAGCATCCCATTCCAGTGTACTTAAGGGAAGCACATGCAAAGAGAAGTACATTTATGGCACCCCGTCCATTTATCAGAGGCAGCCTGCCACCCGCATCCCCCTTCACCCCATGTCCCAATAAACCAGAACATGCTCAGGTTCCAGCGTCATCAAATCAGATTCTAGGTCCGTGAGCAGAGTCAGCCCTCCCAGCCTTGGATTCTTGCCCCGGTTTTCCGCAGCAATTCCTAGTGGCCATAGAGCATTCGGAAAATAGGAATGCGTCCTTGCACGATTGCCAAGGGAGAGTCTTTGGGTCATCAGATGGGAAAGAAAATGGGTCTCCAGGTGTTTGCTCTCCAAAACAATGCGCCGTCTCTTCCCTCAGGATGCTGAGAAGTAACCGCATCGGCTGCATCGGGAACGACAGCTTCGTGGGCCTCGGCTCTGTGCGCTTGCTCTCGCTGTACGATAATCAGATCACGACGATTGCGCCGGGGGCATTCGATACGCTTCATTCTTTATCGACCCTGTAAGTAGGAGAAATGGGCCTCATCGAGCCCCGGCTGGATCAGTGCTAAGTCTATGTTACTACTTTCATTAAGAGCCTATCTGGGTGCTATTGAGCAGTGGGTTAAAACAGCATTCAAAACTGAGGCGGTGAAAAAAACAAAAGGAAACATTTGTTTGGCTGAACTCATTGGACTCCTCTGGGGGCGGGGGAAGTGTTCATTCTCTCTGATGCTTTAGGAACACACAAGTGCCGTGATTTTTCTCCTCCCAGCCCTTTTTTTTTTCCTGCCCTATCACAGTGACCAAATCATTTGCCTGCCTTTCCGCATTTTCTTTGTTTTCTGACTTGCTCATGCTGTGAGTCAATAAATAAGTATAGTCCATTCATCCCATCCTGTGCTTCCACGTTGACCTGTTTCCTGTGTAAATATCCTAAGAAGAGAGTTGCTGTGGTGATTTGTGAACCACACCCATGCTCAAAAGGACCGTTCGCAGTGACAGGAGATATATATATGATCGTGGCTGCGCCAACCATAAACCCGGTGTACCGGGGGCATCGCTGTGGTATTCTACAGCGATTGGAGGCTGGGTTGAGCCCAGACAGGGGGGTGTTTCATGTGGTGAAGGCATCGATGCAGGCAGCAAGGCAGAAAAGCAAAGTGGATTGTAGGTCTGTAGACAGAGCTCAAAACAGAGTTAGAAAAATCTCCAAGAGAAATATCTAGCAGGGCCCTTCTTTGGAAGTATCTGGAAGACAGTGTTTGAAGTTATTAATCTCATGACGGATTTCCTGGTGATGGCCACTCCCAAGTACAGGAACCTCGTTCCCTGGGCAGGGAATACCAGGGGCTGGAATGAGCGGGGCGGGAAGCCTGATTAACTAGCTCCCGTCGCTGAAGAAAGCATGTGAGGCGAGCGTCCATCAGCGAAGTATTTAATCCTCTTTCACATAAACTGTGACACTTTACATCTTGTGAGTACCGTGTGCATATTAAGGATGGCATGTTTATAAATAATGGAATTGTCAATAGGTTTGTGCTGAACGGGTGAGATGCCGAAAGTATTGCGATTTGTAGAAGTCAATTCATTTTTATAGCTGGCATTTAATCCAGCCAGCTGTCAATTTCGATGGGGAACCTATTCTCTGGAGCAAATAAGAGATGGGAATCTGGAGGTGATAAATTAATGAGTTAGCTGTTGTCGGGTGAAACTCAGGAATATAAGGTAATCAGCCTTCATCTTTGTATTAAATGACTGCATTATCAATGCAGGGCTGTGTGACAGCAAGGCAGGCCTCTGACAAGCTGAAATGATTTCTAAATGAGAATACACATCAGGATCCGCCACAGAAACCCGAATGTCTGCCTTCACTCTCTTTGTTTTGTAAACCATCTTCTGGAGAAGGCTCTCACCCGAAAGAGTTGTGGCTACTGTGTAAAGCCCACATATAAGAGACACAGTAAAATTGTTATGTGGGATTGGGTAGGAAGAGGTATTAGGTGGGATTAGGTATGGAATAGAGAGTGAAATATTGCGTGCAGAATGGTAGCCCGGGAGTTTGAGAAGGAAAACATTGAAGGAAACCCTAAACTGATGTCTGTATCTTTTGCATGTGATCCTTAGAAACCTCCTGGCCAATCCTTTTAACTGTAACTGCTTCCTGGCATGGTTGGGAGAGTGGCTTCGGAAGAAAAGAATTGTGACCGGAAATCCTCGCTGTCAGAAACCATACTTCCTGAAAGAAATCCCCATCCAGGATGTGGCCATCCAAGACTTTACGTGTGATGATGGTAAGCAAAAATCTAGCAACTGCTTTGTAGCTGGGTGTCCACCTGAGGTTTCTGATGTCTTTGTGTTTAAATGTGTCGATCGCCAACATCAAGGCCATACATGTTTTATGTGGCCTTGTTTACACTCTGTTTACCAAGCAGCCCCTTGCTTTCTCAGAATACACTCTCACACTGGAGTCTCCTTGAGGTCACATTTCTGAAGGTGCTGGAAGTTTCTCCCTTTCTCACCATTGGCACGTCTGTAGAATCTTTATGATGACTGCATCCCTTTGAGTGATCAGGATTCTCGTTTCAAATCCAAACTCACCGCCATTAGTCCCTTCTGACTCCTGATGACACGAGACACAAAAGATTGCTTGGTCCTCAGCCATCCCAAGCAACATTGAGGAGTCAGCCTGTGGTGATCTGTTGAGTTTTTATTGCCTCATTTTGGGAAGTAGCTATCCAAGCCCTTCCTCCTAGTGCATCTCAGAGAGCAGGAGTCATCAGCATCGGAGCCGCAGACAAGCCTCCACTGACAGGCAGGTGGTGATGGTGTATGCGGTGCACTTGCTGAGAGTGAAAACTGGATTTCACATCCAAGACCCAAGCTCACTGACACTGAGCTCATTCCAACTCATAGCAACCCTTCGAACAGGGTAGAACTGCCTCTCAGTTCTCTCCCTCGGGACAGCTGGTGGGTTCGAATCACGGACTTTGTGGTTTGCAGCCCATTGCATAACCTGCTTAACCCCCAGATGCTTCCGATGCTCACATAGGAGGAGAGAATACACCACTGAGCCACCCCTGCCCCTTTCTTTGTAGTGATCATTCCCAAAAGAGAATAGCAGCTGATTGATAAGATCTGGCATGTCTGGTGATTCCATCAAAAATAATAGCGACGCTCTCTGTCCTCCCAACAAACTATCTGTCCATCCATTTGCCATACTCGGGTTACTTGTGTGTTGCTGTGAAGCTGGAAGCTAAGCCACGGATGTTTCAAATACTAACAAAGTCACCCCAATGGACATATTTCAGCAGAGCTTACAGAATAAGACAGAAGAGACAGAAAGGGCCTATGCCTGGGCCAACCTTGTGGGTCCCAATAGAATAATGTCTATAGAGGGCTGGAAGGTGAGCGCCCCGGAGCTTGGAAGATCCCAGCAATAGTGGCAGCGATGGCCTCACATATAGCAATGAAGTGGGAGTAGGACCAGTTCATGTTCCATCCTATGGTGACCAGACGTCCCGCTTTGGGCAGGACAGTCCCGACTTTTGATGTTTTAATAAAGTCTCGATTTTTGGAAAGCATGCATGACAAGCTAGGGAACAGTCTATTTGGTCCATATAGACCAAATTTTTAATCAAGAACAGCCCCTCCCCCCAGCCAATGGTGCCCCGCTTTAAATCTGGTCACTCTACGGATTACACAGAAGGCCACCAGGAGGCGGAAGTAACTCAACATGACTGGGACAGTCACAAGCTGTCGTCCCACTGGATTCTCCTTCTCTCCTTGTCAGGAAGATAGCAGAGGTTTTTGTATTTTTGCCAGTCATTGGCAAGAGACACGGAGCTCTGGTTTTCAATGAATCTGCCTCTTTATGCGACCCCCTGGCGGTTTTCTCATGCTATCTCCATAGGTCGGTTGAATGGAATTGTTGCATCTATTCCAATCAAAAATCTCATCTATATTTTTATATGGAAAGGACCGCCAGCTGCTCCTTGGGAGGAAGAGAATTAGTCTCTGGAACCTGCAGGGGCAGTTCTACCCTGACTTCTGGGTCACTAGGGGTCAACGTCCACTCCCTGGCGGAGAGTTTTCTTTTGGGCTTTTTGTTTTCAAAATGCTAGTGAATCACTAAACAAAGAAAACGATTCTTTGTCACGGTGATGATACAAATGTGGACCTGTTTGTGAAATCTGCCCTGGGCAGTCAGTGAAAGGTGATACGGCAGGCATGTCATGTCCCTTTGTCGATACTCAGCACCTTATACCTCACTGACCACGCGACTCAAGTCTCCTAGGTTATGTGACCTTACATTAAAGACACGGCATCCTGCAGGTCATCTGTAAGGCCACACACTTGTGTTTACTCTGTGTTTCCTTTGGCAATCTAGGAAACGATGACAATAGTTGTTCCCCGCTCTCTCGATGCCCTCTGGAGTGTACTTGCTTGGATACCGTCGTCCGCTGTAGCAACAAGGGCTTGAAGGTCCTGCCGAAAGCTATTCCACGGGACGTCACTGAGCTGTAAGTAAAGGCTCCCTTTCCTTAGCAATCACCATTGCTCAAACCCAGGGAAGCAGGGATGAAACAAAGAAGGAGCTGCCTTCAACAACATTGGTAGCTTGAGATTCCTAAGGTCATGGGGGAGATGTAGGACTGTGGGAAGCCTGAATCCACAAGACCCAGCGTTTCTGGGTCTGCTCCCTCCCCGGCTTGCAGTGTCTATGGAGGTGTGGGTTCTGTTGGGGATTGCATCCTTCCTGACACATGGATCCCTCATGGCACAAACTGCTAACTGAAGGTTGGTGGTTCACATCCATTCCAGAGGCATGTCTTTAGAAAATAGGTCTGGGGATCTGCTTCTAAAAGGTTAACAACCACACAGGCCCAGTGGAGCCCATTTCTACCTTTAACACACTCGAGGGCTGAGCAACCAGTCTGGGTGCTTGATTCCAAGTAGACACAAAGCAAACAAGCTCCGGTGGCCTCTCCTGGACGCATGTCAAGCCTTTGAGCATCGGGCCTTCACCCAGCAATGAGAGGAGGAATGGAACTAGCAGGCTGGAGAACTGCCATCTCCTGCAGCCTTTGCTCTGATTGATTCCATTTCTCGCCCACAGCAGGAGTCTGCCAGAGGGCTGTGGGCAGCACTGAGGGTGGGGATGTATGTGCATTCTTGACCAGGTGAGTCGTGGTGAAATATGTTAGGAGAATGTCAGAGATGATTCGGACCTTCAGGACCACCATTCAGGTACAAACCTGTGATTTCTTGTTTGACGAGTAAAGGGTATCCCCTATCCTTCCATGCTACAGATAATTATTTTCAGATGTTGTGAGAGTTATTGGTAAAAAAGAATCAGCTCTACTGAATCCAAAAAGAACACAACAAAAACAGTGAGGCAAAAACCTATGCCGTCAAGTCCCTTCCAACTTCTAATGACTCAAGGGGCAGAACAAAAGTACCCTAGGAGGTTTTTCAGATGATAAATTGTTATGAAAAGAGACAGCCCCATCTTTCTAGGGAGCAGGTGGTGAATTCAAACCATTGCCCTTGAGGTTATCAGTCAACACTTAACCCACAATGCCACCATGGCTCTTACCACATATACCTTAGACCAATATGCCAATTTTACAGCATTTCCCAACATTCAGACAGTGGACCATAGTCCTACAAGATGCTCCATGAGAAAATTTCCATATGATCAAATAAGTTTGGGAGGACCCTTCTATGTTATCACCCCTCTTAAAGCTTTATCATGTGCCTTTGCCCTGGTGGCCTAAAGGTTATGCAGTGGCTGTTGACACCTAGGTCAGCAGTTTGAAACTACCAGCTGGTCTGTGGGAGTAAGACAGGGTTTTCTACTCCTGTAAACAGTTTCAGGCTCTGAAACTCCCAAGGGCAGTTCTATCCTGCCCGATAGAGTCACTATGATTAAGAATAGACTCAATGATAATGCGTTTGGTTTGGATTAGCAAAGAATTATCATCACTGTTGGAAGAGGGGAGGGGGATGGAAAGTTAAAACGGACTCTTCCCATCTCCTGAAGGTAACTGAAACAGCTTTGCATGATATGTTAAGAGTTAAGGTTGGTCCCTACAGCCTAACTTGCAAACGCGATTCTGTAGCTTTGCCTTTAGCCCAGTGAGGTTGATATCTGGCCAGTTATTCCCTGAACATACGTGGTCTTCTGAAGAAGGACTTAGATATTCACATTCACTATGCTTTGGTGGTATAGTGGTTATGTGTTGGGCTGTGATCCACATGGTTGGAACCTCGAAACTACCAGCTGCCTGCTCCAAGGGAGAAAGACGAAGCTTTCTATTCTTGTAAACAAGTATAGTCTTGGACGCTCCCAGGGGTAGGTCTTCCCTGTCCGATAGGGTGGCCATGAGTAAGCATCAACTCAATGGCAGTGAGATGTTTGAGTTTATCTGTGTGAATTCACACCCTCGGTCTGCAGCCGACTAGACATCAATGTGATTTGTAGGCAGGATGCCGTGTCTTCCATAGAGTAAGTAAGTACAAGCGTAGCCTCAGGGAGAGACAGAGGGGTCCTCCCCTGTGTTCCCGACATCTCCCTGCTCAGACAGCCCTTACCATAATTCCCACACTGCACGGGAACACACTCTACGTCAGCGTCCCTTCTATTCCAGTGCTCTCTGCTCCACCATCGGCTCTTTCAGAGAAGGAGTTATCTTTTGCCATTTGGTAGCTCCAACCCGGAAACTGCTGCCAGGTGTACAGTCAAAGCCCAAATCACTGCCACTCTGTGGGCAGAGTAGAATAGCATCTGTGGGGTTCTGAGGCTGAAATCATAACAGCAAAGAGCTCTGGGGGAGCAGCCCCTCACCAAAGTTCAGCAGTGTGAACCCACCGCCCACTCTGCAGAAAGATGCAGCTGTCTGACAGCCCAGCCAGGGGATCCTATGGGCAGTTCTCTGTCCTGCAGGGTCGCCACGAGTCAGATTGACTCCACATCGGGGTTCTTATCGGAATCCTTTAGGAAGCCGAGGGAGAAGGACGGGGCTTAACAGTGTCAAAACCCACAGGGTGGTTCTATCCTGCCCTACAAGGTCACTCACCCCCTCCGGGGCAGTGAGTTCAGTTTGGTTTGGGTTTGGTTTCTTTTTGGAAAGGAAGCAGGCGGCCATGTCTCTCTCCCATGGAGTGGGGTGGGAGTTCAAATCCCCAAACTACTGAACTTTTGCTTAGCAGCTGAGTGTTTGCTTAACCACTGCCCCACCAAGGACATGGAGGAGGAGGCGTTCAATAAGTGTGTGGACAGATGGCATTAAACGGCAATGGAATTTTTCCATGAACTTTCTGAAACTTCCACATTCAGCTATAAATGTAGACGGGTGACAATAACTCTGGGTTAATCACTTCGTAGGAAGGAAACCTCATAGTTTGCCAGACCTTGATGATCCCCGTCAGCGATCTGAGTTTCACCCACCCGGGGGGAATAGCCAGGCTGATCCTGTGGAGCAGGGGTCTGTAGGTGTATTTCCGTTCGGAGCATTACGTGGGCACTCTGACCCTCCGCTTTGGGATCCTGGATGCCTGGAGTCTATGCTGCCTGCAAAGTGCTGATTCCAGGAGCACGCAGCTGGTGCATCACTCTCTCCAACGGCATTAAGATTTTTCCCTACCAAATCCCTTCTGCCATGTTATCTGTCCCCAAACCTTCATCCTTCTACCCGATTTCCAGCCAAGACTTTTAAGAAATCATTTAATCCCTTCATTCAGCAACATCTGAGGGACTGCTCAGCTCTGGTTCTGCTGCGCATGCCAGCTCTGTTTCTGCTGTCAGATAATCTGCCTGCCGGACAATTTCATCATAAAATGTTTTTCAACTTTTTTTTTCCCCTCCTAAAGAAAACCAGTTAGAGAAGGCTGGAAAATAATTAACTCATCTCCGGCCAAAGGACCCCCAGAAAGCTGATTCTTAGACGCCAACCGAGTCAGCTGGATCCTTTCGACACTAAGCCATCTCTACATAGCAGACACATGTTGTGCATGCGTTCAAGTCAATTATTAAAGAATTTGGCAAAAAATAAGTGTGTCTTGGTGGTGGGCATGTTTGAGCCAATGGTATCCACAATTACTTAGTCGTATGTCCATAGCATTTCTCCTGAGATTGGTTCACGTGTAAACGTCTATGCTGCACATGCAGAATCTTCCTGGTACTTTTGCCATGATGTTTTCTGAAGTACCAGGGAGGAGGCTGAAGTGTAAGACTGCTTGGTGGTACTGTGGTTTAAAAAACAAACAACCCCAGCAACCGCCTGCTTCCATAAAGATTCAGAATGGCGGGAACCTGATGGGGCTGTTCTGGGCTGTCCTATAGGGGCAATCAGAGTTGGAATCAACTGTAAGATGATGATTTGGGGTTTGGCTGAAGGATATGGAGTTGTGCTGCCCTCTACTGATAGAAATAAAAACACAACTCGAAAAAAGAGAAGAAATTGGAAAAGTGTGAGAAGTCACAAAGTATCCCCGGTTACTTGATCAAATATTTATCACCTTTGTTGACTGCTGGTGCCTTTTATGTCGGCTTTTCCTTTGGAACTTTTGAGATAGATTGTTAGCACAGACAGCTTCTCAGCCACTACTCTCTAGCCAGCTGCAAAGTATTTTCAACTTAAGCCTAATTAGGTCCAAAGCCATCCATTGTCAGCTCCTCCATTTATTGATAAAATGTCTGCAGGGAGTAGATGTCCCTCCCCTTCGTGGCAAGGTTCCCTTAACCTTTCTTGGTTTGGGATCCTCGTAATTGCTAACACGCTGGAGCCAGACACAAACTCAGGTGATGGATTTAATGGGGTTCTTCTGTCCAACGCACAACAGGCTTGGTGCTTGCTGGGCTTCAGCCCTGGTAGATCTACCACGGAGAACTGCATTCGCCAGCCTCTGCATGTTTCTGTAAGCCTACTCTCTCACTGCCATCGAGTCAATTTTGACTCATAGCAATCCTATGGGACAGGGTAGAACTGTCCCTTGGGTTACTGAGACCTGTAACTCTTTATAGAATCAGAAAGCCTCATCTTCCTCCCTCGGACTGGTTGGTGGTTTCGAACTGCTGACCTTGTGGTTAGCAGCCTAGCAAATAATGAGTAAGCCACCAGGGCTCCTGATATTAGCCTAAGGGATACTAAAAAAATGATGTGGCCAGAGTGGACATTGGTGTTTTGACTTTTTTACCTTTCTCTAAAGTAACCAACCCAAGCTAGAGAAGAACATGACATCTTCAGGTAAAATTGCCCTGTCCCTCCTTGCTCAACCAAGGATGAACGGTTGAGCTGTCCATCTATCGTACGGAACAGGGCTATCATTTTAGAGAACATATAAAAAGTATTATTCTTTCTTTTCAGGTATCTGGATGGGAATCAGTTCACACTGGTTCCCAAGGAGCTCTCTAACTACAAGCATTTAACGCTCATGTAAGTCACACATTCATTCCTATTCCAGTCGGTGGAAATGGGGAGGGCTGGGGGCATGATACTTAGTCAGCCTTTCAGGAAACATAAATCATTTATACTTAGATGCGCCCTGCATTGCTCACGGCGGTCCTGGGTCACTAGCTGCATCTTCATAAAACATCAATCAAGCAGTGGAGCATCTTCAAGACAGAGGTCCTCCTCTGTACAGAGAATCACGAACACCCTCAAGCCTAAGTAAGCAGAGAGTTAGAGAACTCCCATAAAACAGACACTTCTACCGGTGGGGAAGATGGACAGAAAAGCTGCCTTTGTTCGAGTGCTTTATTCCTAACTGTGTGTCGGAGACACGCAATGCCTTCAAATCCATGGAAAAGCCATGATCAATTTCAGTAGTTTTAGAGGATCTAAAACATGAGTAAGTCAACCATGGGCTTCCAGGACGAAAACTTATTTGAGAAGATCCGCATGTCTGCTTGAGTATTGCTGACATTGAGAGAGGACGTTGCAAACTACTGGCCTTTTGTTTTGTTTTCTTGAATGGCCTCGTAAATAGCGTCCTTCATTTCCATTCGTGTGGGCAAATGTAGACCACCTTCAAGTTGGAAAGCTACCTGATGCTACATCTTTTAAATGCCTTTTATATGCTAGATGCTATGGTAAATAGTCCCAGTCTTCTTGCCTTTAATGTGACACTTAGGTAGTGTGGTTGTTCCAGTTCAGGACTCATCATGACTGTGTGCAGCAGAATGAAGCACGGCCCTGCCCTGCTGCTAAATGGAAAATTGTTTTTAGAATACAAAACAAACAACCACCACCATGAGGGGGTGGGCAATAAGAGTTGATGTTAAGACAGAACACTTCTCTTTGTGGAAGTCTGGCTGGCTCCGGACTACAGATCGGTGGCTTCCTTGACAGACTGAGAGTGATTTCAGAACCAGGAGGTCCATCCCTAATTGGTGCGAGTTCCTGGGTGGTGCTTACACCCTCAACTAAAGGCCTAAAGGTTGATATTTGCACCCATTCACAGGTGCCTCGGAAAGCAGGCCTGGTGATCTGCTTCCTAAGAATCAACAGCCTTGACAATCCCCTGGGGCACTTCTGCTCTGCACACATGGGGTTGCCCTGAGTCCATGTCAGTCACATGCCAACCAACCGCATCCATAGCTGCAGCCTCTGGGAGGCACAAAGTCATGGGGGGTGGGGGGGTAGGTGAGTAGTGGTAGGGGTCCTGGGTCACGCCTTGAGCTAGCGACCACAAATCCAGCAGTGGGAACTCACTAGTCACTCCACTGGAGTAAGATGAGGCTTTCTACTCCCATAAAGAGTTACGGCCTTGGAAACGTAAA